TAGATTGAAAGGAAAATTTTATAAGACGGTGGTGAGATCTGCAATGCTCTATGGCGTTGAATGTTGGCCTTTAAAAGAGAAGCATAATAATAAGTTAAGTGTTGCCGAGATGAGAATGATTAGGTGGATGAGTGGCTTTACACTTAGATACAAAATGCGGAATGAATATATTCGTGATAGGGTTGGTGTAGCTCCTGTGACAGACAAAATTAGAGAAAGTCGTCTTAGATGGTTTGGTCATATTAAACGTCGACCATTAGATGATCCGATTAGGAGAGTAGATGCTTTAAATTTGACTTGTGTTAAGAAAGGCAGAGGTAGACCTAGGAAGACTTGGGCTTATTGTATTAAAAATGATCTTAATTTACTAGAACTAAATGAAAATATGACACTAAATAGGACGCAATGGAGAAAAAGGATTCATTTAGCCGACCCCACGTAGTGGGATTAAGGCTTTGTTGTTGTTGTTGTTGTTGTAGGAGATAAATGATAAGAAATCACGTAATATGCAATAAAATTTATTAATTTCTTAACATTTTTAATACCTTTAAGATAAATTTTTGAGTTTTAATATATATTGAGTATATTTTATGTTAATATTTTTTTAAACTAGCCATCTCATGAGCCAACTAGTCGAGTCAGGGCTGGCTTGAGCTTGGCTTGTTAGCAAATCGAGCTCACACTTGAGCTGTCTCACGAGTCAATCATCAAGCTAAACTTGAGCTGTCTCACGAATCGGCTTGACCGACTTACACCCTAAACTAGACTGACCTTTACAGAAGAACCACACAAAACTTGCGGATTTCACAGGTCCAACGGCTAAAAGGAAATTTAAACGCATATCAACTAATTTCTATGTATTTACAATAAAAAATTTAGAAAATTCCAACTTTAATAGTGCCTTGAGAAGCCTAGTAGATCAGTTATATTTCTTAAAATATCAGTGCATGAGACGGTGTATCGAATTAAGAAAAAAATTATTAAATTTTTTAATATATATATTAAAAGAAAATTGGTAGATTTCTCATGCGCTAGGCCCCATGATGAGAGCCCACGTCATGTGACTAAATATTCGAGATCCCAGCACCACTAGGGATCGAACCGTGAACCTGAGCGGACTTACATTGAACCCAACCAACCAACAAACCACGACTTGCGGCACTATATCAAGGTTAATT